GGATGATGGAAAGCTGCTGTAATTGATGAAATGCGTCTCGCTCCGGAGACTCCAAAATAATGCCGTTAGGTTTTTCCCTTCTGATTTGTGCGACGGAGCGACAAGGGGGGCACGCACCCTGGAGAGGTTTCGTGCAGTCTACCGGCGACACGTCAGATGGGAATATTGGGGCACGCCTGCGGCACTTTGTACACTGCTGAATGGAAGAGAGTATCGCCTCACTCCTTGCCGAATGTAATGTTGAAGATGGCGACCGCGCAATCGGGAACTTTAGTTGAGATTGGTCTTCGTTCGGAACCACTTCGATGGGAGGCAGGTCTTCCCAGCGCGCCGCAGAAGTTCTCGATTGGGGCTTCCTGAAATGATGTGCACCTCCTAGACGAGTTTCGTCGGCGTTGCCTGTTTGAAGGTCTCCTTGTTTTTCTCACCGGAAGCCGCAACTGCTTACTACGGAAAAAGTCTCGAGCACGAGACACGGCAAGAACAAAGTGACGGGAGAATGAAGACGTCCAGACCACAGTGAAGAGGCTCATTTTAAATTTGGTGCCGACGATGACAAGGCCAAAGAACTATTCGAAAAGGAACATACGATGACAGGATACTACAAACAAAGAATTAAATGCCAAACAATCGCACGAAACGCCTCAAGTAGTCCTCACAGATGGGCTGACAGGGACTGAGTATGTTGGTCGTTTGGCGACAGGCTTCCACCGGATGGGCTGCAGCGGCAGCAGCACTGGTGGCGAGAGGGGGGGCTCCCGGCGGTAGAAGTTGTCCCGCGGCGGCGGCGGCGGCGGTGGCGGCGGCGAGGGAGACGGCCGGGGCGCAGGCACTCGCGGAGGGAGCGGTAGCATCGGTAGCAGCACCAGCGGCGAGAGTGGTGCCTCCCGGCGGCATAAGTTGTCCCTGCGGTGGCAGGGGCAACGACCGGGGCGAAGACACGCTCGGCGGAAGCGGCAGCACCGCAGCAGCACCGGCGGCAAGAGGGGAGACTACCGGCAGTCATGTGTTCCCCGCGGCGGTGGCCGGCCGGGACGCACGCACTCGCGAACGGAGAAGCGGCACCGTTAATGGGAGCGGCTACGACAGGAGCGGTTACCGTGACGGCGGCAACGGAGGGTGGACCGGGCTACCGCACGCCATGAGCCAACCCGGCAGACGGTAATCCGTCAGCAGCGGTACAAGGTGACGCCTGCGGTTCCGCGGTCGGGGTCTCGTCGAACCGATCGTGGTTGGTTGTCGGCGCGTGTACTTCATTGTCACGCTCGCGGGCTCCTGTCGAGAGCGTTTCTGCGCAAAGGAGTGACTCAAGTCCCGCGCGAAAAGAACAGTCCACGACCGGCACCGAGTGGACGAAAAAATAACAGTATCACCCCACGTCCCTGCGTTTTTTCACTACTACTTCTGGCGAGGAAATCCTCCTGCTGCCGAGATTGCTGATCTATGTACACAGATCTGGTTACGCACAAACACAGCCAAATACTCCTAGATGACATCACCCAGAACGCGCACTGCTCATTTTTTGCATGTGAGCGGACACCAGTCTAGCTTTGCGCTCCCCACAAATGAAAAAATGAGCCGGACGGGAGATTGACGGGAGGGCATATTATTCTGCGTTTTCCCCCGTCTGAACATCGAAGGAATAGAAGTGTTCTTGTGGTGAACGGATGTATATATAATAGATAGATTTCCGTGTGCCCACGGCTGCTTCTCCAATTCTTTGTTTTGTTGTATATTGTTGGTACTATTGTGCTTGGTACCAGATGGGACGCTAAAAGCAGACTCGAGTAGGCATAAAGCCGGAAAAAAAAACGCATGGCGTCGAACACAACAACACCTGAAGACGGCGTCTTACATTCTATCATAACGAACGGTGCTATGGCCATCAAAAATAGGAGGAAACTAGCGTATAGAAATAAAGTAGTAACGCCTCTCTAGTAGACGATCAGCTCAGAACCACCACCAGTAGAAGGTGATATCTTGTTTGTAATGTACCCAAGGTACTGGGTAGAGAGATCGGAAATGTTTGAACGTTATTTTTATGTCAAAACAACAACCCAGGGGCATGAAGCAAAAAATATTCGATACACCCACAGGGACGCAAATAAGCCCTGCACCAACACCTTTTTTTACCGGCGGACCCACCCAACCAAGAGCGACCTAGGCCCACACAACCTAGCACCTACCCAGGTCAACACCAACCTAGCACGTATCCAAGCCATACCAACCTAGGTCGATCGCATAACCACCAACCTAGCACCTATCCAAGAAATACCAATGTAGAGATTATCCCATCAATACCAACCTAGCGCCAATGCCGGCACAGCAACGTACATGTAGAACTGAGCCACCCAGCGCCAACCTAGCCCCAATGCGGGCACAAGAACCTACAGCTGAGCCACCCAGCGCTAACCTAGCCCTAATGCAGGCACAACAACCTAGAACTGAGCCACTCAACGTCAACGTAGAACCTATTGGGTGGGTTTGGGGTTTTGGTCAGGGTTAGCGTTAGGGATTTAGCCGGTTTCGTGTCAGTTGCTGGTTGGAGGGACAGACAACTGCGTCGCCTGCCTGTAAGTACAGCGACAGGTGAAAGAAACAAGAAACGCTACATGTTCGTGACGCTCGTTCATCGCACACGATTTCCGTCGGTAAAAAAGGTGTGGGTGCATGGCTTATTTGCGCCCCTGTAGGTGCATATAATGTTTTGGGCATGAAGCACATCGATGCCGTAGCGCACGTACTCTTGTAGTAGAAGGAATATGTGGAAACCACGAACGAAATAATTTCGGGTGAAAGGAAAGATGGGAGATCTCAGCCATGGATGATGATGATGCTGGCCCAAATGTTGGGCGCGGGAAGAGTCGTACGTGATCGGTGTGTGCGTTTGTGAACGGTTGATGGAGGGGGGTAAAAGACCTGCCTGTGGGCCCGACAAGGTGGTGACAGGATGTGGCAAGGAAACAGGCCCCCAAAAAACAAACAAAACAAACAAACAAAGCGTCGTCTGCGGCGAACTTGGGCAGTTGCCGGGGCTGGTTCTCCATCATGCTCATCGACGATGGCCCCCCACGCTTTGGATGTCTCGGAAGGCATACTGTTGTGTTTGAGCTGCTGCTGTAGGAGGGGTGTGGTAGGAGAGTATGTGTGAAAGGAGGGCAGCGACTTGCCTTTTAAGGGGCTGCCACCTGTGCAAAGGAGGACATATATGCCCGTCCAATACAAGTGAAAAATGGATTTTGGATTTTAGGTGAGGGGGGGGGGACCGTAGGACCTCAACAAACTGTTACAAAAAAAACAAGAGGAGAGAACCGAGAGGGACAAAGTAGCAATACATCAGTAGACGAAACAATGCAACACTTTGGGGATAGGGGAGCGAGTAATGGGATAAAGTTCGCGAATTCTATGCAGCAGCATATGTACCCACACATACATTGTAGAGGAAGCTCTTTGCCCGTCCTAACGCCTTCTTATATTGGCGAGCAATGATCCTCGAGGCCATCTCATGTACTCTCGATAGAGTCAATAAACCGGAGACAGAGAGTCGGTCAAACGGTTCGCGGACCCTACAAAATTATTCATTACGTTTAAAATAGTAACTGTCCACTGCTGTACCCAAGAAGAGACGGAAAGGGGAGAGACGGAGAGAGGGGAGAAAGGAGAAATATGGACGAAGGCGAAAGTAGTACGCGTTTCCTCCGTGGTGGAAGCGTAACTAACTTCAGTTGGTGGCTTGTGGCTCACTCGCATTTACGGCACACACCGACAAAAATATCATTTAAAGAAAGTAATCATAATCTCACACAAAGACTACCCGTTCGAGATATAAACCCAGTCGATAGGGGTGTGCTGGAATCTTTACAGTGAGTGGAGGGAAACCTTATTCTTGATGGAGAGCATGGGTGAGATACGGACGAAGGGACGCGGGCAGTTGCAGCAAACTCAACCGTAATGTCACCGTCAATGTTCGATGTAGACGTGTGCAGCCGCATAGATACACACCACCGAACAATGTACGGCACCAAGACCAGAGGCAGCGATCGCGGCAGTTGACATGCGGTCCGGAAACTCTGCTGGAGATGCGGTCCCCCAACACTGCTCAAAGCAGCAAATGTACACAGAAAAAAACGAGAAAAAACGCATGGAACAGACGCAAAAAGAGGTCCGATACTCCGAACATGCGTCGTGCTCACGAACGAGAGCAACCACGGTTGTTGCTGTCCGTGCAATGTTTTCGTTTGCAAATGAGTACCGCGTACGGGTGTGTGTCCAACACTAACAGGTAGAGAGACAGTATACCTCCGAGATGCCCGCTGTGGTGCATCGCAACAGCCGCCTGAGGGATACAAACCATCAAGATGGGAAGCCCCGCTCACGCAGCAAGAAAAAATAAAAGGTTGTGATGCACCTCACGGACCGTTTTTTTCTGTTCAACCGCCCCGTTCGGGTGGCGACACAGACAAGGCCGACCCTTGTCGGCCACAGGAGGTGGAAAGTTCCTCAAACTCGGGAGGGGTCATGATCTGCGATTCTCCACCGAGCCATACTCGAGACTCCGCGAGTTTTGCAATGTAGCTTGAGATCAGCATTTCGGGCCGGGTCGGGCAGGGGGTGGGGGAGTTGAATGAAACATGGATAATGGTCTGAGAAGCTGAAGATAAAGCTTCAGAGCTCTTACCCGGGAGCTCACCCCGGAGAGTTAACGCTTGGTTCGTCATATGTTCCGGTTGGATTGTGACCCGAAATGTCGTCATCGATGGCTGGGTGTAGCAACGCCACCGGAGCAACAGCCCGAGCTTGTTCTGTTGCAGGGCAAGTCCCTACAATAGTGGTGCGTAGGACATGGGTGACCTGATGACTTAAGTTTGCCCCATCGTGAGCCGTAGGACCAACGTTTGATAGGTCGGTGGTCGGTGTATTTTTTGCCCACGTAAATTGATGGGTCAGGCGTAAGTTTTCTTTCTCGTGAACACGCGCCTTCTACCTCTAGATTCCGATTTGTTGATCCCAGAGAGAATTCGAAGCGGCAATCCAGAGAGGAGATAGAAGGCTACCCGGCCCAACTGAACCACCGGGGCGACCGCATCTTGTGCATCTAACAACACTGGTACACTCAAGCTCCGTGGCATTCCCCGGTACTCGCAAATAGCTTCAACTACGCCCCCCACCCTCGTGCCTGTTCCATGGACTAGCAACGATCGATGCCAATGGCAGACGGTGTCGACAACACGGCAATTGCATGGTGTCAACGTTCATCGTTGCCCTGTCACCGCAAAGCCCGTTTTCGTCCGTTATCAGACGCTGCATGTACATGGCAGCGCGCAACCATGCTTCGCCTATCTCTGCGTAGTGTTGGAACGCATCGGTCTCCAAGATACCTCATCGTGCATTTTTCTAACGAGGAACGCGTCTAGCAAGCATGCCCGCTCAGCTGTGGTTTGTCGCTGTAACCGAACACTCTTCGCTCTTGATGGGTCCGTCCACCTTGTGGCCATGTCCCTCCTCTACGACCAGAAGGGATCCTGCGGAAAGTAACGAATGCAGAACCGACAGCGAAGGACACCAACATTTTTGGGGATAAAAGGGTAGCGGACGGATGCCTCATCATGATGCGAATGTACGGTAATCTCCTCGGCGGGTGAAAAGACACGTTGGGATCCAAGTGCCCAGCAAGTTCTCGACAATACCCTCTTCCCGGCTGCACAGCACCAGCCACACGCACGCTCAGCAACATCTGCCGCATGCATGGTGCATAAAAACGAAAACAAGCACGACGACGGCCTTGAAAGGCACTCACCACTTCTTCCACGACGGCGATTTCCGGCTCCGGGACGTTGGGCTTCAACACCCCGTCCAGAGGGACCCGCTCCCCGTTTGACCAGAACGATTCGAGGTCGTAGTAGCTCCGGCTTTTGGGGGTCATGATGTGCACGATGATGTCCCCATAGTCGAGAAGGATCCAACCACTTTCCGGAGCTCCCTGCAGCGTGCACACGGGCGAAACAGGGCACGCGCAGAGGGGCGGCGGCGGGGGCGGGCGGGGCGGGAAGGTTGCCTTCCACGTGCAGTACCCGACGGGACGGCAAAAAGCGATAGGGAACGATAGGAGCTCGGTACCGGCAAGTATCCGCACACCAATAGATCGGATGCGTTGAAAACGATAGCGCCAACTAAAGTAGCTATTTTTCGTCTCAAGCCCTCAGGACGCCTGGTTGTCTTCTCAACTCGGAATAGTTCTGGGCGAACCAGATACAGAGAGAACCCAATCGCGCCACGTGTCGCTATCGCACCTGCGACTTCGTTTTTCTCTGGTGCATCTCTTCCATCTTCTCCTCGATGTTTTGCGCGATGGCCTGGTTTTGTGGTCTGCTGTTCCCCTCCAGCACCACCATGAACTCTGTCATCACCGTCAACGTTGCCACCTGAGAACGAAAAGAACACGGCGAAAGAAAAAACTTGCCGATGTTGTTTGGGAGTGCTGTGGCACACTGCTGTCCATGTGCCTCGCCTAAGAGAATGCTGCTTCGGCAGCACACACAGCAGTGTTTTTTACAGAAGTCGTCCGTACCAGCACATCATGATTTACAGGGTGGTGAACGACGCATGTATCTTCTTGAGAAACTCAATACACAACGCCACAGACTTCCGTCACTTGCGGCCGCCACCCACTCTCACCCGAATGGCGACGATGTTCCCCGCCTTGCGCTCATCCGCTGCCTTGACCGCGGTCAAAACCTCCGGAAGGGTCGGGTCGTCTTCCATGGCGCACACGGGATAGTCGCCCTGCGGCATGGGTTCGATGCAGACGCGTTTAAGTGCTCTGATGAGACATTGACAGCTAGTCGTGTTTTCAGGGGCAAGTGTGCCCCGAAACTTGAACAATATTGGCGAGGCAAGAGGCCGTTTCCGTGTCACCCACAGAGCAGCACGACCTGAATCAATATGCGCTTGCAAAGCCAAAGACAGGAGCAGGCCCGCGCAAAACTACAACGCCGAAGCACTACGCAACATATTCAGAGCTCCAGCCTGATGCACAAGCCTCCGGGCACACGACGAAGGCGTGAAGTAGAACCTCGTCGGGTCGCGGTGCTGTCGATGGGATACTGCAGCACACACACAGCCTCGAACGCAAGGAGTCAATCAAGAGCCGAAACAAAATACAACAACAACGAGGGCAGTTTGGGGCCCGTCCAAAGGTTCACTCACCCCATCCGAGGGAGACATGCCCTCGGCAAACTGTTGCTCTTTCTTCCTCGCCTTCTTGCCGCTGACCACCACACGAAGCGAACAACCAAGAGGAACAGGCAATAAGACCCCAGATTGTCACGCCGCAGGGACAGAGCTGCAAGGGGCTCGAGTTTGAGGTAGTCCAATAATCAGAATCCCGCGATAGTGGTGAGTGTCAGAGAAACAATCCCGAGCTGTGTGTTGAGTGAAAAGCCGAGACCCTCGTGTGCCGCCGCAGCCAGCCTCCTCCGCTCCCGACACACCCCATTGAATACAAAGCAAGAACGCCGGCCAGAATTCTAGCCTGTGCTCGAAAATCCAGGGTCCAGTCGACGGCTTGCAGGTAGACTGGCGGCCTCTACCTCTTGAGACTGCTACCACTGCCGCTGCTACTACCGCAGCTGCCACCACTATCTCTGTTGATGTTACCGCAGAATACTTGTGCGACGATAAAACAGTTTTGATGAATACCAACCGCATCAATCGGTCTCGGGTGTTTTGTCCCCGAGATTCCGGAGTGACGGCTTTCCCTAGGACCATCAATCAACGGGGTGACGAGACACACGAGAGGCCCCCATGAGAACGCTACTGCTGTCACCGAGGAGTGCAAGAAAACCCTGAGAGCTGCAAAAGCAACAGACCATCGCCTTGCGCCTTCGCGTTGCAAAAAACTCGCCTCACGTGCCAACGAGTTCCTCGCAAAAATGTGAAAAAAACACACAACTTGAGGACAACTCTCATGGGCGACTACAGGGTTCGTGTGATACTTACTCCGTGTCGACCTCAGCCATGCGTTATCGGCATCACAACCTTCGTCTCTGTCAACATTGAAAACAGAGTACGCATCTTTCCCGGCCTTGACACGGATAGGTTCGCGCACGAACGCGCCTGCGGGTGAAAAAAGCCTCGTGCCATAAACAACGCCCGCGAACCTGTTCATCATGAGAGCGCTCCCATTTCGTCCTCCCCTTCGCGTTCGCCCCCCCCCCTGCCCTGCTGCAGTTCCCCAAATGCCTTCTCCCGCAGCCACCGCCGCCGCCGTGAACCCCCCGCTCGCCCCTCCGGTCCGGCCGCAACGGTAACCGCTTCGTCGAGCCGTTACTTCAGCGGCAGACCCGGCATCGCCAGCGACAACAACGTTTCTCGGGGCAACGCGGCCAATACCGAGTCCGAACCCACTGCACCGGCGGTTTGTTTCCGGAAACGGGTCGACGTGACCGAAATGAGAAAGGGTTAGTCAAAGCGCTCGTCCTTAATTGTCCTTATCTAAACACAGAGAGGGAGTACAATGTATCGGAAATCATACGATGTCAAAAAAGTGATTGGAAAAAAAAAAATGAGGCAGGGGGTGGTATCTCACGTCACACCGTTGTGAAACATGTCCACTGATGCTGCCGTTGTTGCAGTGCAAAAAGCTGGCAATGTATCTCTTCCATTTCTGAGTCCTTGGGGTGTGGGGTTGCGTGCCCCCCACTTCCATTCTACGCCGATCATGCACCGAACCCCTTACGGTATATCGTTCGCTTGGTTGGGGGTAGAGCTGTGTGTGCTTGATGGCGAGGCCAGCATTTCGGTCGCAAGAAGCGCACATCAGCAGCGCTGCTGCATCGGGCGACGGTATGCGTCTACCGTAAGGTAAGGTGGCACAATCACCATGCCGAGCCGATATCTGAGGGGGATTTTCGGGCGCACCACGACAGGATGGAGGGGCAAACTCGAGCAATACCGTAATTGTGCGAGAGATCGCGCCCTCGACCGACTGCTGTTGTATTGTAGCTGGACTATGTACAGAGTGCGCCAAAGACAGTGCGACAACCGGACGATACGGCTGCAGCAGGAAAACCTTTCTACAAGAATCTTTCCGAAATCGTTCCACAGCAGTTCGGCATCTTATTCACTGTGGCCCCCTCGTTGGCGCTGGAATTGAGCTACGATAGTCGGTCTAAGGGGGGTGCGAATGGTCACAGCAGTGTAGGCTCCTTTACCATCTGCCGCTCCCGGCACGACGACACAAGAGGACAGCACGCCGCGTGGCGTGTGGATCAAGGAACCAACACACATCTCCGCCGCAATGAACCCTAGTTCGAAGCGCTCGCATTCAACAACACTGGCCTCTGTGAAGCCTTGAACAAGAGGGTGGTCTACATGGCACGCATCGTGTGGATATCATCAACTTCTGTGGTTGCCGCCTGGTCTGCGAAGTGCAACATCGTGGCGACCTTGAGGCGGCAAGAAAAAAACATGACACAACACCTGTGGTGATTGCACTTCACCTCGCTTGTCTCGCGGTAGCACACAACACAGCCAGCACCCGGGTACACCTCGGTAACGCCATCGTCTCCTCGCTCTCCTTGCTATCTCCGTCCTCTTGAAGGGCGGCAGATGTTGTGGCGGTGTGCTTGCTCTGCAGTCTGTCTGTCAGCTGTCAGCTGTGCGTGTGAGGGAGAGGCGATGAGGCGACCCCGCGGGAACCCGCGTCTGTGGTCTGTGGTCTGTGGTACCTGCAGTACAACAAGCACATCTGCAGGGCCCCCACCTCAGCCTTGAGCCACGATTGACAGCCTAGGACCTGTTTCGCTCGCGTTCGCGCACAACCAGCCCACGCAAGCTCTCCTAGTGTAGTTCAGAGAAGGTGAGAGGGTAGTCAGCTAGTTTCCAAATTGTGGTGATTTAGGGACTGGGAAGGGTTGGTTCGTGCTTTGTGCTTTGAACGATTGGTCGTACGCAGCACGTGTGGTGCGCATGGGTATCGATCGCTTTGTTTGCCTCCGGACTTTGTTGTAAAACCAGCCTCGCCATTTACGTGGAACAAACTACTGAGCTCTGGCTTTGGTAGGCCGCTATCATACAGCGATACAGGCAATGTTCGACAACGGACACAGCCGGAAGATCCTCCGCAGCCTCTGCTGGAATTATGCCAAGCAGCAGCCTAGATATCGGTGGCTGCCACCACTCGGGGAGGAACCCGGGCCCCCAAGCCAGCTATGTCGTGCGGACGATCTATTTTAACTCATTTTCATCTCGAAAATAACGAAATAACCCTGACCCTCACCGATCGAACGGTAGAAGGAAGACGTTCATTCGTCAGTCAGTCTCCTTTCACTCGTAGCCGGCCACACAACCCTGGGTCGGGTCCAGCAGATCATCCAATACTCGTTACAGCGGTGCATGCACCAGCAACAAGCAGGTTGCGTGTGACGGAGTAGTGTAGATTGTTGCGGCCTGCGGCGGGCTCCGTCGGAGAGACTGCTGTTGTTGTCTCCATGCAAAACTCTGTCGCAAGGAATCAATGTGTGGCTGTTGCTTGAGGTTGGAGACACAGCAGTCAGCAGCGGGGCAATGATGGTCCTGTGCGTGGAACCATTCAATACGAGGTAAAACGGTCACACAGAAATAGCTCCTCACCAAAGGAGCGATGCATTCCTGATGCAATCCTACACATTCGATTGGTACACGTGTACACTTACTCTCACATCAGTATTGTAGGCACACAGCCAAGGGTAGTTAGGCCGCAATTTGATACCATGCACGTACCGCTTTTCATTAGATTAGTAGTGCTGCGTAGCCTGTTGTTATCCTCAGGGGAGATGTCTCTTTATGCCGCTCGGGGAACTGTAGAAACACAAGTTGGTCACTTAACACTAGACTCGCCCGTTGCTTGTGTATTCGGACTCTTATCGTGTTCCAGCATGCCCTGATTATTGACAAGTCTTTTTATTTTTTCTTTCGCGCAAAGACAGAGTTATCCTTCAACAACAAATACGCCGCACACGGTACTAACGGGGGACAGGGAGCTACACACATATATTCCATCCGCCACGGTAGCTTTGATCTGCAGTTTCTTTCTTTCCAGTGCGTTCCGGCCGAAGCGTCAAGAGCCAAAATGACTGCTTGTTCCGTTTACAGCTTCACCTACACCCGCTGCCGCCGCCGCCACCGCCTCGTCACGTTCACCCTCGGCTCCTCGATACCACTTCGCAACCATCCTGTGGTAGAGAGCCGTATTTTTTTCATCGAGAGGTAAATGTCGCGGAATAATGTCGCTCGCACGGCGACGGCCCTCCTGCTGGGACTGGCGGTCGCTTCCGTCCGCGTCGAAGGCCAATATGGCGACATGGACTTCGAAGGTGAGCTGGGCCAATGAGTAGGCGCTTGCTGACGTCACTTGTTGCTTCGGTTTAGGCGGGGCAATGTGTTGGCGCGAACGACGGTTGCTAGCCTGTCGGGTCGAACCCGTGGCTTGCGTGAGATGCCGCCCCCCCTGGACCTGTTAAGTCTCGTCTACCGGCAATCCCGCCGCCGTTCCGCAGCGGTGTCAGCAAGGCCAAAGTTGCGGTTGGCAGCGATTCCCTCACTAATTGTTTTTTCGTTAACCTCCAGCACTGGCCAACACAACGGCAGTTTGACCGAGTGATAAAAAAACCCTTTCCACCGTCCCGACCCCCTGCAGGCATGATGGACGGCTATGATGATTACTTCGGGGACATGATGGGCATGGGCGACATGATGCCGGGGATGGGAGGGATGTTTGGGGGCATGGGGGGCGGGATGGGTTACGGGGGATACGGGTACGGGGACCCGGAGCCCTCGCACACGGATCTCGCTGACATGGTGAGAGAGAGGGGAGGAGAAAGAGAGAGAGAGGCAGACAGACAAATGAGACTGCGGGAGAGAGATAAGAAAAGGCAGACAGACAGGGGGAGAAGGAGGGGGAGAGATAGACACCGAAAGAGGCAGACAGACGGAAAGGGAGACTGAGGGAGAGGGAGAGGGGCAGACAGACAGAGGGAGAAGGAGAGGGAGAGATAGACACCGAAAGGCAGAGGGATTGCGGTTGGATGCCTTCCGTTTTCGGTACCAGTCTTTCTCCTTCATGGCACACCATGTTCTTCGTCTCTCGAGTTCTGCCCATTGGTGCCTGCCCTGTACATACCATGTTGGCGAGTTTGGCACGACAGTGGTAGGCCCGAACACACCGATCAGACCGAGGTGGACAGGCTGAGGTAGCCGGACACAAGAGGTTAAAGGGCTTCCTTGTGTCTGGAGCCGATCAACAACGGCATTGATACGGTTCATCTCGAAACGGCGCGCTGAACGAAACAATGCGGAAACTCTCAGCTCCAGATGCATCAACCGGCAGAGGCCTCCACAGCAGTTTTAGAGCAGCGCTACTCGCTCACAGACTTTGGTGTACACGGTGACACGGACTGCTATTGGTTGCATAAGATTGCACCCTCCCCCTGGACAGTTTTTTAGCACTCGATTGCTTCACGAGGAAAGCGTTTGCCAAACATATTTGATTGGTGTTTGGAAAGCTGTCAATGAGACGGTTCCAACAAAGCCATTTTCCACCTTTTTTTCTACAGGACAATGAATCGAGCGTTGAAAGTCGGTGCAGCGAGTTATCTTATGCAACCTACGGTATTTTGTGCGTTTACACGCGCGGGGGGGGGGGACAGCCTCTTGTGACGAGGTCTCTTGTGTCAACCACACACGTCTGTTCGGGTGAAGCGTCTATCTCATGTTCTCATGTTTGTTGCATGGTTCGCCCGCTATGCGGCGGAATATGTCACGCCCGCGACACCTTAACCCAATTGTCTACGCCGGTATTTCTAGGTAAGCAAACGTGCTGGATAAGTTGGGGTCAGGGTTAGGGTTTGCACGTCTGCAGGCCCCCTGCCTGCTCATTTTTCGTGATAAATCTACCCTTTGTTTGCTGCGTAGGCAGTCCACTGAAGACTCCACCTACCCACCCACCTCCGCTGTGGCCCCTCCGCCTCCGTTGCTGCGTGCATCAGGCTGAAGTGGAGAAGTTCATGACCGCCGACCCGCTAACGCCGTGCGTGATCGGGTTCTACGACGAAGACACGGATGGTGCTGTGAGTACTTGTTTGTTATCCTTGTGCACCCGCTGCGTGTTCGCCGATGTGCTGTAATGATGCGGGTCTTGGTACAGGGGGTGCGGAAAAAAATTGGGTTCCACCAGGGATTTAACTGATAATCGCACAGGTATCGTTCACTTCGCACAGGGGTATTACCACGGTATCCAGCTTTTGTCGCGGGCCACTACTGTACCAAGGTGCATAATAGCTTGTTTCGTAAAGTTGCTCATGTGCAGGTGATGTTGTTCAACATTGTCATTATTGTCGGAATGGGCAAACGGGTTCTACTCAATCAACCAAGAACGCGTACCACCACACGAGACCAAACGACCACAACCAACTATTATACGTACTACGAAAAATACAGACTCCGCGCCTGCACCCTCTGACATCGTAGCCAACGTGTTGCATGTGTGTGGTGCGTGTGTGAGCACAGACCTCTGTGTTGGGGAATTTGAAGGTGATTCGCCGCCTCGCCGCCTCGGATTTTCATTTCGCCGCATTTTATTTCGCCGCGCATATGTTTTGCGTGTTTTGGGGTGCTGGTGTGCTGGTGTGTTGTGTCTGTCTGTGTTCGTTATGTTGTGGTCCTGATGCTGCAATATCTGCACACGCACACCAAGTGCTGGGGTCTGCTGTGATTTGTTCAGGATCGCACACATCGGAGTCTTGGCACCGAGGTGCGCGTTCGAAACACCCCACTTCGTCGCTTTGTACTTATTCAGAATCGCACGGATCGAAGTCATCGCACGGGGGTGTGCGTTATATTTTCAGGACCAAACATTAAATTTCATGTCCCGCACAGGTATCGGGTACATGGCACGTATCGGCGTCTTGGCACCCCTGTGCGATAGAAAAACCGAGAATGAAAACATTTAAAAAGACGATCGCACGGTGTGCCAAGACCCGCATCCTTACGGTACCCGTGTGTGTGTGCGTTTTTATGCTGGGTTCGAGTCTTTGGAGTCAGGTTGTGAGAGGCGTCATTTCTATTGGGAGCCTTTTTGTCCCGTCTTGAGGCGCTTTTATTTCTTGCCTTGCTGTGACGAGAGCTCATGCATGATACGAGTCTCAAGGAGCAACCCAGACGCTAGGGGATGTTGTAGGCGCCGACGCCCGTGACCAAAACCGCTCTTGCAGTGTCCCGTCGGAGTGGTCGGGCGAACGCATGGCAAGGTGTCGAATAGCTCTTCGTTTTTCAAAGGCGGAGAGGGATGGTTGCGTTGCGTGTAGCTCGTGTTTGTTCGTGTAACGCCCTGCTCAGCACCCTAGGAATAAAGTTTGAGGCCCTTGAGGCCCTCCCTCTCTCTTTCTTGTCTGTTTCCAATTTCTTGTTTCTGCTCCATCCTTTCGCGTTTTTGTTTCTCTCTCTCTCTTGCGATCAGCCCCAGCATGCTGACGCCGCCGCTGCCGCCCCCACCATCGCAACCGCTGCCACTTACAGCTCCTTGCTTGCCTCTTACTACACCACATTTCACCTTGTTGCCCTCTCTCGTCGGCGGTACCTACCTTTGCCAGGACGTCATGAACTACAGGACCGCAGCGCAGAGAATGTCGCAGACTGGAGTCCGGTTCGGTCTCGCGACGGAGGAGGACATCCTGGAGGGGCTCAAGTACAAGTCCGGCCGCGTGATGGCCTACCCCGCGAAGCGCTTCCTGGAGGACGGCGACCGGCCAAAGCAGCGGTACCCGGGTGAGAGCGGCGCTGCTGTATTCCCCGTGTCGGGGCTTGGAATGTCCAGGAGGAGTTGCTATTTTCGGTGTTACTGTTGCTGTTGTTGCCATGGTGTTGGCGTTGTATGTAGGGATGTTTGGTGTTGGTGTTGTGGTGGTGTTACTGTTGCTGCTGTTGCGGCGGTGGTGGTGATGTCGGCATCGTTGCGGGTGGCTTGTCACCTGTGTCTGTGCTGGGATGTTACCCAGTTGAGTGTCTTCAGGGTATTGCATGCGCGCTCAAACCGGAGGGTGACGAATCGGACTCCTGTCTTCAAAGGATAAAGCTCAATTGTAGGTGCGCGAACAGAGCAACATCTCAGAAACCGTCCCTAACGCCTCCCCGCTTCTCATCGGTTTTGTTTTTTGCAGGCAGCGGCGCTCTCGACCCAGAGTCGCTCCAAATCTGGGTAGTGAAGGTCGTGACTCCCCTTGTCGGCCTCTTCACGTGGGAAAATGGTGGGCTGTACCAGGAGGTCGGCTTGCCGGAGCTGACGGCGTACACGAAGGTGGGTGTCGGTCGTTGATGGCCGGGCTTTGCTGCAAGGGGTCGGTCCGCCCGGTGTTTGCCGGTCTCGTCTCCACCTGCTTAAGCACACGGTCGTCCCCGCGTGAAGGAAACCCTAGTTGCTGGCAGTTCCATTACCTCCCGCGGCTGGTGAATCAACCCCCTCCCGACACGGCCTGGACTCACCGCTCTGCTGCTGCTGCTGATTCTGCTGCTACTGCTACTGCTGCTGCCACCGCCGCCGCAGGTTGACTTGGAGGAGGACGGCGAGCACTTCGACGCTGTCGCGGCCACACTCCGCAAGGTGGCATCGGCGAGCCTCCCGGAGAAGAAGTTGTCGTACGTCATTGCCAATAAGGAAGACGTGGCCTCTTTGGCCTCAAGGTTTCAGGTAAAACGAATGGACCTTGTGTTTGTGTGTGTATTCCGCCTTCATTCAAGAAATAGCGTGTTATGTGTTTGGTCAGTTTGTTACCTCGCTATGAAGGCGACGGTGATGCTACGTAGGCACGTTCAATCGACTAGAGAGTTGCATTCGCCAGTGGTAACTTGGCTGACTTGGCGGACATGCGTTACCATCGCCAGTGTCGGGTGTCGTCTGTCTCCCGGTGTTTTGAAGCTGTGGGTCAAGGACCAGCAGGAACAACAGCAACACACCGCAATCTTCCCACCAATAGCAGCATAAACAAGCGTGTTTTTCTAGGCGGCGGGTGGGGGAGAGGGCGAGGGTAACGTTGCTGTTCTAGCCGGTGAAGGGGGGCGGGGCGGGGCGGGATGGTGGTCGAGAGCGGAATACCTTTTTCGACGGCAATACGCAGCACCTCGAGGAATCCCAGAATGACCCCGCCTGTAGAATGAGCGTGCTGGCTTGACCAAAGCCTGGCTCGTTGCGGGATCCCATTGTGTGGTGTCGGTGTTGTTGCAACTGTGGCTGCGTAGCTACTGGCCGTGCAAAGCGACTCGATGGCTGTTGTTGTTGTTGTTGTTGTTGTTGCTGTCTTGTTGCTCTCTTGTTGCCGGCATGAGCGGTTGTTTCGTGTGCGGCTTCCCGAGCTCGTGAGGGTACCACAGGAAACATTCTACCCTTCATGCCGTACTGCACTCTGCCCCTCGAGAAAATGTTTGTCGCTGTTCCCTCCCCGATGGTTTTCTCGTTGTTGTGTTGTCCGTGTGTGGGGGGGGGTCGCGTATTTTGTCTCGCCTGCAGTTCCCTGAACCCGAGGGCGAGGAGGCTCCTCAGGCCGTTGCCGTCGGCATCCGCTCGGAGAACAAGTTCTACCGCATGGACGGGAAGTTCGACGAGAAGACGGTGGCCGAGTTTGTCGATGCGTACCTCAAGGGCTCGCTCAAGGTTTGTCTCCTCCCTCCCTGCTCTCCTCCCCCTGTTACTGGAAACGTCCGGTGATGAGGCTCTGGTTGAGTGTCTTTGTGTAGGTGTGGCGTGGCTGGTATTATCGTTTTGGCCTGCCGCTCGTGTTTGGCGTGGGGAACTATGCCCACCAGTAGATTTGCTGTCGTGTGTGGTCGAACACAAGGGTGCGTTCCACCTAACGAAAGGTATCCGAACTACGGGTCCCTGTAGGCATTTTACAGACATGACTGCGTTTGACCAATTTCCGCAGCGTGTCCACTGCTTTGCTGCGCCCTGCCGATTCCCGTTCTCGACGAGAAACCTTGTTTTTTTGGCTGTCGTGTTGTACATGGCACGCACGTTGAAGCCGGACTTTTTGGCGTGGGCTGTACTCTCCTGGTTACATGTTCTCCGGAAATCATCGCGCTGGAAGCCGCCTCCCGGCACAGAACGGTTCACCGGCGAAGTCAGCGAGATTAACACAGCGTCTTGACTCCTTAGCTTCCCAAATTTGCTACTGCACAGCGCGGAACCCCGCCGTTCTACCTCCCGCGCGCTGCCTGATTGTTTTCCGGCATCTGCACCAGGTAGACTAACCCGTAACCCTGACCCCTGCTTCCACCTGTGTGAGTGCCCTGACTGTTTGCCCCCTGCATGCATGACGTTACTACCGTGCAGCCGACGCACGTAGAAGCGCTGGAGGAGGGCATGGAGTCTGCCGGGGCTGGCGATGAAATAGACGACGAAGATAGCGACGTCGTGGTGGTGAGTCGCCGGCATGAATCAGAGCACGGCTGTGGTGCAGCAGCGTTGTGTCCACCTTTTTTGTTGTAGGCGGTGGCGGTTGTTGCTGCTACTGCTGCCGCTGCTGCTGCCGCTGCTGCTGAGTGTGTGTTTTTTTGCTCGGCGTCTACCGCCGCCGAACCATTACCAGGGAGAACAGATGGTATGCAGGCATTCTTTGACTCTGGACTCGTTTCAGAGTTAATTTGCTTGGGCGTGGGCGGGGGTCATTTCAGGACGCTTGTTTTCGCCGCCTGTGTTTCTGGGGGTCATGACCGCATCCTCGATGACTCCCCCCTTTTGTTTTCGCGCTCTCCTTCCGATCCGCCTGAAATACCTGTCTCAAACACACCGCCTTTGTGCCCCCTCCCCCCCCCAAGAAGTGATCCCTCTTTCAACACGAAGGTAACCCGTTCATCTGTCTGCGAAGTCCCCATAACTCCCATCCTATTGCGGCCGCCCCTCCTCCCGTGAACCCTGACAAAAGTTGACGCCGGACAACTTCGACGAGGTAGTGAGGGCAGAAGGGACAGACGTGATGCTCGAGTTCTACGCCCCGTGGTGCGGGCACTGCAAGTCGCTCAAGCCTGTGTACAACGAGGTAGCAGACGAGGTGAGAGAGAGGGAGAGGGAGAAAATTCCTGTTGTTTCTGTTTGCTTTTGCAATGGTGGTTCCGGTTTAAGGGAGGGTTGGGACAAGCGGTTTGCACTCGCTTACATCCGGTCCTATCTTAAACCGCACTGTGTAATTTATGTAGTTCCCATGGTCGGGATGAGCCAAAAGCACCCTCTTGAATCCGATTTTTCTCCGAAGTAGTCTCTCTTAAACCCTAGCCGCTACTATAGCGGGTTGGTAAAGAGTCATTGGAAGGGAGGGTTGCTGAAGCGTGTCGAGGTGAGGAGCCGGGGTACGCGGTGTTCGTGTTGCTATTGATAGTCGTTGGTTGTCCCGTGATTTGGATTTTGTGGCTGGCACTGCTGTCCGGGTACGCGGGCGGGGCTAGATCGTTGTTTGCTTGGCGGATTCGCAGAGAAGCACAACCTTGACGTGCGAGGCTCCGAGAAGAAGGTGTCGAAGCAAGCTGGTACAGGAATCTCGACGACGTATGGTTGCGTGGAGCTGGCTGCATTCCTCGATAAGAGTGCGTGCGGGTAACCGTGGAGGGGGAAATCACGAAATCACCTGGTTTGGATCACCGTCTTGCTGGTATGAAGCTGCACCGGGTCCGTTGAACCCGACCCACGGTGTAGATCGCGCCAGGGGTGTCGCACGTAAATCTGCAAGTTTTGCGCTGGTCCTGTTGGCACGACAATCTCATTCCCCCCCATCCCCTGCTGGATGATGCACTGACGGTGTTGTTTGCGACCGATCTTACTTGTTGGTCCTTCCCCCGTCGACGGCTTGTGTCAGGTGTCAGACATGCCGTCGGTGGTGGTGGCCAAGATGGATGCCGACGCGCACACGCCTCCCGCGGAGTTCGAGGTCCAGTCTTTCCCTACCCTGTTGTTCTTGAAGGTAGGTGGAACACACTGCTGTTGCTTTTTTATCACGGCTTGGGGTCAGGTCGGTGTTTAGGGGGTCGCGTTTGAAGTCAAGCCCGTCCACACCCATGGTGAACATCATCTTGGGCATCAGGTGAAAGGGTTCATCCGCAGGCATAAGAAATGTCTGGTTCGTATTTGTGATTGTTTGCATCGTATATTCTACCAATCGGCATCATAAGGGGGAGGCAAAATTCGGGTATGGAGTGAGGTTGCATGATGGCAGTAGGTTGTGCTTGTGTGCACGTGCAGCCTTGATGCTCTTACTGAGCCGTTGTCAGGGAGGTTTTTGCGGTCTTGGTCGCTGCCCTGACCAATATGTCAGTGAAACCTATTCGTAGACAGTTGGTAAACACGTTGTCGTGACTGTAAAACGCGCTGCTACGTTGATTGCGCAAGCCGTTTCGTGACCACGGCTGATTCGTCAAGCACACACCGAACGGTAGAAACCAGAGCCCAAAATAGAGATTCGGACGGGAAAACATGTGCTGTTCGAGGAATCGAAGGAAACCATATGACATAACGCTGTTTACAATGATTGCATTGCTGTTGTATCCCGGACTCTCATCTGTGGGAGAGGTGAATTCGTCGTGTGTTTGTTGAAAGAATTATAGCAACCATCTTCGGTAATTTTACCACGTTGATAGGTCCCGTCCATGGCGCATCCGTCAATCTGCCTCTTCCTCTCCCTCCGTGCTCCCTACTGTCTCCCTCTCTCAGGCCGGAGACAAGGCCAACCCCATCCCGTACGACGGCCCGAGGGACAAGGAGGCCATGGTGGCCTTCATCCGGGAAAACGCCACACCCCCCGCCGCGTCCGCCGGATCCACCGAGTTGTGACTCGACTCGTAGGCGTGTGGTTAACGACCGACAGCGTTCTTCTGTGGCGATTCGTAGAGGGGTGGTTGACGAGCGACAGCGTTGCTTCTGTGGGAGGATAACGTGTGAAAGGATACCCTCCAGTGTCCTGCAGCGCTATGCGACTCACGTCTTTCAGCCTCTCCGAAAGAGCCAATTTCACTTGGCCTCAGGTCGTTACACCGGCCGTCATGCGTACGGCCTTGTTGACGTGGGATGGTAGGGGGGAGGGGTGGTACGGGCTACACCGCATCGTGCCAAGTGTTGAGGTGTGTCCTACTGATGCACTGAGCTTTTGTGTTTCGTGGGCGGTTTGTCTTTCGATCGGGGGAGTAAAATGACTTACACCTCTCCTGGGATGCTTGGGATGCGTTTGCCGTGCGAGAGTCGTGAGCGAATAGCGCTTTCGTGCCTACCCCATAGCAACGAACTAAAGTTTGACGTCATGTATACAGTAGCGCTTTTCGGTTGTATTTTGTATCCGTACGCCAACGTAAGCTGGAAGCAATTAGTTCTAGCGCGGTCGCCACCGAAGAGATCCCTTCCCCTTCCATGAACATGGATAGTCCTGGTGTCCTGGTGTCATGTCAGAGTGTGAAGCCCTGTTTCCCATCGTTCTCAACCTTTCGTAAATGCACCTTTGCCAATACGTTTTGCCTGGAGATCCCTCCCTCATGGCATTCCACCACCTGGCGTTACTTCTTTTTAAGGTTGTGCGTCAGTGTTTCCTGTTGGCGCCAGCTCAATTGATCGCGTGCCGATTCTGCGGTAGAGAATGGACCGAGATGGGTCCCAGAGCACATGATACTCTTCCGACGCAGCACTTGACAACTTCTGCATCTTTTCTGAAGGTGTGAATTCTCTCCAACATCAAGGGATAATATGTCCACCTTCATCAACGACTGATGCGTGGCCTTACCGCACCGCTTGTCCCTTGATCATCTGCATCATTAATGTGTCATCTGCAGGCGTTGCTATCCACCGATTGTCTCTTGATCATAACGGTTGCAGCACAGCAAAGTGCAGCCGTTGTCTTTCTCGTCTTTTGCTGAGCGATCAACCGAAGCCAGAGTTCCACCATCTCTGTCACAGCACCGTGTCCAACGAGCCCCCTCTCATTCTGCTCTGCATGTGCCACTGGTGACGTCGCACCCACTGCTATGTTGGTCTTCTGTTGAACTCCAAGAACTCGTCCTGGTGGCCGATGCAAGGGTCTTGGCGGCGAGGCTGTCGCCAAAGTCCTCGGTGGTACCGACAGCAACGGCCGCGTTCCCTACCTCGGCCCTTTCCCCATCAAGAAGGGACGGAAGCGGTCCGCTTTTCATGTCTCCTCCAGCCCCCCTTCCTACCCCCCCTGGTCCTTCCCCGAAGAGGTCTCTGCTGCTCGCTGCCGGAGGCGAAGACTCGCGCGCGCCTAGTGTCGCTACCCCATCACCGTCTCCCGCCGTTAGCCACTTGAAAAGACCTGTATGGGGCCAATGCGATCTGTGTTCGATGTACAATATAAATCAACGTTTGGTGGAGGGCAAGGCGCAGAGGCCATGGTGCTGACGTGTGGACCACGCTCTATGCAGCCGACCCATAGGGTAACTTGTACGTCAACAATCGACGTGCACATGTGCACCATCATCTGTGTCGATCCAGCCACCCGCGGATGGCATTATTCCACAACCCTTCGAAGCAAAAACGTTTGTGCCTCCATGTGGTCTACATCCTTCCTCGTTTCCAAATATTATTCCGTGGTTACCTTTCGATCTGAGTGTAGACTACTCGTAGAATCCAACGTCTCTCTCTGTCTCTCCCTCCCCCCCCCCCCCTTCTCTCCCCCCCTCTCTCTCGCTTCCTCCATATCTCGCCCCCTCCTCTCTGTGGCCCTCTGCCTCACCCATCTGGTATGCCTTGAACAAGAAGAGCAAAAGCGTGACGGTCGCTGAGATTCTCCAGTCAGCCCTCTGAATTAGCGCGTTTGCCATTGACGTGGAGGGACACCAACATCGTGGGGCGGGGTAGCGGGGTCAATTACGTGAACGAACTTGTTTCCTCCCGTCGCACGAGTTTCGCCGCAAAACTATGGCAAGTAAGCGAGGCCAACGGAGGGCACACAGATCATCGAAATACAGGCAAATCGCCGAAGAGCTGAGACACATCAGTTGGACGTGAGTTGGGTGTCAAACGACAGACAAGTGGAGACGAAGGCACGTACTAGATTCGCGAGAGCAATCGTTTCGTGGATGACCAGCTGCCGAAGGAACTGACTGCTGAAAAATGGGTGGAAGCATGCACGTCACCAATATTGTAGTCTCCGGGTGCGGAAACAGCTCAAAGCTCGTCAGTCCTAAGCATGCATAATAATGGCTTGTGCCATTCACCATTATCTTTCCTCAGGCGAGTACCCAACTACCGAGTACGCCTTTGCCTTCCCTCTCTGCCACGGCCATACCGTTCGTTTCGATCCTTTCTCGTTCGCCGCCGGTTTCTGCCTGCCGGGCGAGGAAGCCCCCTCGCCGAGAGAAGGACGACCCAGCACCTGAAGTACGCAGGTATCGAAACCGTGTGAGCGAGGTCATACACGATGAAACCCTAGGTATCTAGCCCCCACGCGGAAAAATCTTCCTCACTCGGTCGAGCAAATCCTAAAATATCAGGCCAAGAGCTTCGGCTACAGGCGCATTCAATCGAACACCAGGCCACAAAGCGACCGTACCGATATGATTAGGGTTAAGGTTTCGTTCGACGCGCGTCTGGAAAAGCGATTTCAATTGAACCGCACGGCACAGCCATTCGTTGTCGACAGCGATATCGGTCCCACACTCTACCGTAATTTCGAGCTCACCCGGCTGGCGGCCAGGAGCCTCAGTGTCTCCAGTGGTGTGTCAGCAGGCCTCGCGTCAACGCCCAGCTCCTTCGTCAAGAAGGACGTCACTTCCGCTCTGAGCGGTAGCAAACCGCCCACCGAAAGTGACATTCCGAAGAAGATACATTGGGCGGAAGCGTACGCAGGCAGGCAGGCAGCAACGAGTTGTGACGGGATCCGCCAAAAAAACACGTCGACCTTGCGCGCGCTTCATACGAAGGCATGCGTGCGCTTCGGCCACGCACAATTGCTCTAAATACAAGATCGCTCAATTGTGGGCTCCCTGATCCTGCGCTGCTCAATATCCTTTTAAGTTCTCCACCGGTCTTGGGCCTGAAAAGAGACACCTTTGGTTGCTTCTCTTTAATAAAGGTGCACCGGGCATACCGCTTCATGCTGCTAAAGAAGGATGGTATTCGCAGTGAACGCCTCCAAGATGGCATTGAGCATGACGTCTAACACAAAGCCCAGCACATTGACTGACCAATCAATGCAGCACACCCAGAGCCATTGTCAGGGCTGGATATGTTTTCACATCTATGACCATCGTTCTGAAGCTCACGGACAAGCAAAAACCGTTTGTTTAGCTATGTATGGCGATGCACGTCTACGCACGTCTAACAACTTGTCGATATCGCCCGCTCACTCACCGGGACATACAGAGGATGGCGCCTTCCCAGACATTTGAACTCCAGTTGTCCTGTACGGGCAGCATCCACGACCGGTGTGCTGAGATACTACATTTTGGCCACCTTGCGTTGTGGTAATGCACTACCGTCTATACCGCCGGAACCCAACGAATTTGAGCATACCGAACTGCGACATGCTTCATGAATAAAGAACAGGCACGCCCAAGACCCGACGCTTGCGGCACTAGAGGTGAATTTTCAACCCCAAACTGTAAAGAAGACTGTGGAACCGTAGGAGTGAAGGGTCTATGAATCATCATCTCCAATGGCGTCTTTCTGGGTCCACGCACTCGGACATCGGAAAATGGCGGTATTCTTTAGCTCACTTAAACAGATGTCCACTGACGTAAGACCCGGGGTTGAGCATGAACCTACCCTACGAAGTCAGTCCGCCGTTCTAGACGGTCCGGGCCTCCCAGACTAGTGCCACGGCTTCTTCTCTAGTGACCGTTACCGTTCAGTGTCAGCCGCGTAGCGCGGCTGGAACTTCGTCGAGAACTTGTCCGGAAGACCTCTATAAATAGAACAAACCTGGTCGTCGTCATCTTCTGGGCCTTGTTGGGTTGTAAGCTTCCTCCGGTGCATCTCTTGCATCTTGACCAGAAAGCTGACCACGGCGGGGTTGGAGAGGTCGTATTCTTCCTCCCTGGCTCTCTGCCAAACGATGTTGCAGTGCCGATTAGTAAACGCGGTTCGGGGGGGCGATACTATCTACAGCAGAGAGAGTCGCCCACCGGTGGCACCCACGGGACGAGAATCAAGAACAATAACGACACACGAGCCGGGTCAAGGCGAACGCCCAAGTGTCGTGCTCTCTGCGAAAGACCCTCAACTCTTACACAGTCCCAGACGTACCACTAGGCCCCCAGGTTACGTCGCGAAAAAGACGGAACAATGAAAAACACAGGCATAGGGTTGCGACAGGGTTCGTCTTATCCGTGCGCGATACCTGAGGTCCAGCATCGAAACACCGTGGCTGTTTGCCGCTTGCAAGCGGCTGTGTGACAGAGGGTACACAAAGTAATTAATGCAGTATTTCTTTCATCAGCTGAGCAAATGTCGACACCCGTAGTCTTCAGCTTAACCAGCGACTCAACCAATTCCACCCGTTTTTCGCAAAAACGAAGCAACGTTGAAACACTCTTTTGTTGTCAGCCCAACGACGGATCGTCCAGGGACCGAGTGTTTCACAGCACTTTGTATCGGTTTTCAGGGACTTTGTCTATGGGGCCCAAGCCCAAAACCTAACCCAAAGTTTCCTTGAATACGTTGTTTCTAGACCTCTCTCCCGTATACGTGACGTTCTCCCAACGTTCGAGGATGCTTAGACTATTGACGGCAGGAAGAAGGGGAGCCACAAACAAACGAGGTTGTTCCCACGATCAAGACGAGGAAAACGCCAATCCCATGTGTGTAAGATATCCTTTGGAACAAGCTGTACATGGACCCCAAAATGCAAGTTTGGCCGAAGCTGCTACCGCTAGGGCCCAACCACCAGAAGCAAAGTTACCCTGTTCTCCTTGTGATGACGATCATTATGGCAAGCCCAAAACAGGCGTGTATGGAGTTGCTCGCGTTGCTGGACGACCCCCCTACCTCACCCTCCTCCAAACCAAGAGAGCGTAGCCTGATGAAGGAAGTAACGATCACAGCCTAGCCAACAATTGTGCTGCCTGCGTCAAGACGAGTTGGTCGCCGGTCAAACTCGGTCGCACCTTGAGCATTGCCTCGGAAGGATTTCTCCAGTCCATCTCGACGTGGGCCCTTTCGTGCCCCGCAGCACGCTCCTGCTGCTGCCTGTCGTGCTCGGACAGCAACTCCTCGATGGCGGCAAAGCGCTCGCGGTACTGTTCGGCCTCCTCTTCCAAACCCTGCTCGACGTGTCAGCCGACCGCATTGGTTGGATATTTGTCGTCAACGCCGTCATGTCACAGTGCAGTATTCAAGTCAGCCAACCATGGAACGCATTGCGTGCTGCCGTCAGTGATGTCAACGTCGCCTTTTCACGGGCACATGTTCGATTCGGTCAACCATGAAAACTGGCTGCGATTCGTCATCAATAATATCATTTCGCAGACCCCGGGCAGTGAAATATACCGAAAGGTGTATCGACGGACGTCAAGAACCAGTAGGACGATACACCCACGCACTTTGGTTCCAAGTAGATGGTCCCAAGCTCGAAAAGGGATTGTCCAGTACACACATTGCCACGTGACAGGTCGTCGTTTTCTCCCACCCGGATCTCAACACATTTGCTAGCGTCGTTCCTCAGCGATTGAAGGGTGACTGAACGGCACGTTGCCTACACTCTCTGTGTGATCTCTCGGCCGGGGGGCTGTTACGACACTGGAGATGTCGAGCTGCGCGACGAAAGGGCACGACGCAGGTTAACGGACCTCTTCATCGCACTTCCGGGCCATGTCCTTCAAGTACTCCACTCTCTCCTCGACGTGTCTGCGGGTCTCCAGCGGGTCGCCCCCTCCGGCGCTCCTAGTCGCGTTTCCAGCGTCAGCTTGGCCGTGCTCCATGGACAGATCGTGCTTGCCTGCCGCTCTGTCCGGTTTGCCGCGTAGGGCGTCGCTTCCCGCGGACACGTTCCCGTGCGTTGGCGCGTGCAGACGACTGGCCTCTGCCTCCCCTCTGTAGTGTTGCACAAGGTGGAGGGTCGGGCGGTTTCTTACAAAAATACGAATCAGCAAGAGGCTGCTAAGCCAGGCTACTCACCCAAGTCCAAGCGGAAAGAGTCTGGAGAGGTCGTGGTTGTGTTTGCGTAGAATGGTCCCTGCACTACGGTGGTATACGACAAACGGCTCTCTTGCATAGCCTCACCAGCTCGCCCCTGGCCCAACCACACGCGTTCGCGCCACGGACCTGTACCACTGCCACCCAAGATACGAGTGGATTGCTCGCGATAGCCGTATGAACCCCCAACAACGACGAGGCTGCGCTGAACGCCATCATGAAAACTAGTAGTCGCACCATCACAAGAAGAGTTCCGCCGGCGCCTTGCCCTTCATTTTCTCAAGCGCCTGTGCGCAACATTCAGGTAAGGATCTCGGTGCCCCGCGCTATGCTCTTACCCTGGGTCGCAGATGTTTCCTCGGCCGAACATGCCGGCGAACGTCGCGCGGTCTGTTTCCTTCTGCTTCGCCTTTTCTGTCTTCAACTTAGCCATAAACGCCTTGATAAGACTGTCGCTCGGGGCTAGTTTGGCTGCTCGAGAAACGTCGCTGGAGTAACACGAAGTTGCCGAGTAGGGATTACCGAGTAGGGAAAAACCAGCCAGAGGAGGGAAAAGGAGGGTCGGGGGAAAGGGGGTTGTCAGGCCAATGTCGTGGTTCTGTCAGTAGACAACCCATGGTGCCCCCGGATGAATTGCGGGATCATTTTCCTAGGTCCATGAGCAGCTCGAAAAAAATACCACACGCGCGGAAAATGGCGTCTGCTCCCCCGCACAGAATGTCTCTCCTCCTTGCACCAGCATGGGCTTGTGTTGGGCGAAACCAAACGACCATTCGTTCCTTACATAGGGTACGTTGTACCGTACCGGCCGTGGGACCAGAGTTGGACTCCACGTTTCGTTTCGTCCCAAACCGTCCCCACGGATGTCGTGACGCTCACCGACATAATTTATCTCCTCCCCATGCGGAGCGAATACGCCCTGCATGTCATCATGGGAATGGGTGTGAAATAATTGTCCCGCAAGGGAAATCCCGCCGCCGCTTTGAAGTTTCGCCGCTCACCGGATCGCCGCGTCTGTTTCGAACGCCCCCGCCGAAGCAGGCGCTACGAGAGCCTTCCCTCTCAGGTACAGGGCCTTGGCGCTGCAAGGGTTTAGGGTGAGCGCGGCGCTGCAAGCCCTCGCGGAGGTTGTGTAGTCGTTCTGGGCGGAGTACGCCCGAGCTATGTTGAGCAGCAGTGCCACGTTGAGATCCCTGGCAAATCGGTTGCACGCACACCAGAGATTTCGAGACCGTGGAGGGAGGGGGGAGGGGTGAGCACGGAACACCGGACAATTTAGCAGCGACTGGTGCATGTAGTATTGAGAATTCTGGGCTGGAGCTACAAACCCGCTTCCTTATGTCGACAGACCTGACAAAGGGTAAGGGTTCGGAAGCATCACCTTCTACCGTGTCTTCTGAGCAGCATCTGAGTCGTACACGTGTTACACAATCATTGTGCTATTCACCTGGGGTGATTGGAGCGGTGACGGTGGCACCGACAACAAGAACTTCAATTTGTGGCCGTACTTGGTGTCTCCATGGTTTCTACAGTGCCTATGGACAACGCTGCAACACATCGATTGTCGAACGTATGGACCTAGCGGTTCTCTTCGGTTCAAGGTCAAGTACGCTACGGTTTCAATCGTGCCTCTCCTAGCGTGGTAGCAAGTATTGGTTACAAAGGGATTCGAACGCGCAAGGAAGACACGGGGGAGGGGGGTCGACAATATTAAAGTTGCACAGGTCACCAACAACAACGAAACAAATTACCGCCAGAGACACAGCCGCATCCGCAACCACGGAGCCCCCGACAAATGCAGAATGGCACATACCCCGTACCTAATCTCCTCAGTGGATTTATCCGATCCACGCCCTAACCAAAAGTTTACTTCCTCGATGTCCTCGTCCTTAATCTCGCTCGTTTTCCAGTTGATGTTGTGGTTTTTCAGGTACCAGAACATCGCCAGTGCCTTCGATAGGTTTGAGGGTCACATGCAGATGGTGGCGACAGAGACAGCTGCGCTTTCGTTCTTCGAGCAACCACGAAGCAGGTCGACACCAGAGCTGATTGGCAGCTCTTACGACGACAAACTGCCTGGCAAGACTCATGTCGTGCATCATTACTCAACGGATAAGAGGGTACGGCAACATTGCCCAGCAAGCTACCCGACCTTTATGCGGGCGCAAGATTGACGATGGGCAGCTTTCGAAGGGCTGAGCACTAAAAACACTATACGGAAGTTTCAGGATAGTTAACTCTGTGGAGTACCATACATAATGTGCATGAGGCTGGCTTTCCTCTGAGGGGTGAGGTGCAGCCTCGAAAAATTATTTCCCTATAAGTTTCGGGTTGTTTGCTCCAGGTACGTCGAGCTCTCAAGAGCTGGGTCGCTGTTCCCTCCTGGCCTTATGTTGTCTAGTGTTGCTCGTAGCTTGGGTGCTTCGTGACGGCTTGAAAACGGACAAGATATTGTTGCCGATGGCAACATGTTACGTTGAGATGGCAAAACGTTTGGGGCCACACGAAAGTGCGAACCTATCAATAGCTGCACCCGAAACATATTCGTATGTGTCTTGATGTGGAAAGTCTCTGGAAATGCGATAACATTGTAACTACCTATCTACCTGCTCGTAAAGCTGACACGCCTTGTCGGGACAACCGTTCCTCATCTCCTCGTTCCCCTCGAGCTTCAACGACGTGCATTCCCCTACTCTCTCCTCCAAAGGAAGGTCGCGGGCTGCTAGCACCTGTCCAAAGGGGTTTCATCAACACAAACCGGCGACATTTTACGTTCGACAGTGACGGCAGTGCTGGTGATCACCTTCTGTTTTACCAGTTTCCGTGCATGTCGTCGGCCCTCACACGACACTGTTGGAGGTCGGCCATGTTGTGACGTTATCACCTTCAAGCATGCCTACGGTAGGACCCTGTGCATCAATCGAAGGCTGAAAGGGTGCGTGCATCCTCTACTGTAGTTTGGTGTAAGGCTGAAACTTTTGCTACATCCACCTGTAGACAGATTAGTCTCAATGGGATACATTGCTTTGATTGTTGTGCAAGTGTACACGGTTGCTGCGGAACACCCACAAGAGATTGACCGCACCTTCTTGGTAGCGAACATGGAAGCCTGCTGGAACTTTGGCCTGGCGTCGAAATCCACTCGTAGGTTCGCGTCCGTGCTCGTTCTTATGCTGATCGCCTGAGGCGGGGTGGTTCGAGGCGATCGTGTGACTGTTGTTGTCGAAGAACGCGACGTTGTCAGGGCTGGATACAACGGGGCCATCCAGAGGGCGCGTCAACAACAACAGGTAGGTGTTCCTCGCGCAGACACTGTAGCTGGCATATCGATCGCCGGTCATGTTCGTTGTTGCCTACAGACGATGCGCACACCCGCCTTCGGCTATACGTTGAACGTTGTTTTCGATAATGCCGTACGCAACAAGACGAGCTCGGACAATGAACACTTGCTCGATGACGGTGAGTTGCGACGATGGTGAAACGATACCCTTGCGCAAGATCTGAATTACCAATATTCACCGCTTTGTGGGAGCGAATTGTAGGACAAAAATTTGAGGCCGCTGGGTTATTGGCCGGTCATCCCTGTATTATGTAGAAGTCCCAGTATCACTCCCATGAAGAGGTTTTGCCAACACCGTTGTCTCTCTGGTCGATGCTTTCTAACACCCGTACCTGTACAATTGAAGCGGACGTCTTCCATGGTCACGGACTACAGAGTTCACTGTAAGCACAACCCAGAGGAGAGCCACATTTCAGGCTAGTTTCAAATGCATCACGATTTAAGTCAAGTTGCGCCCCTTTTGAGGCACCCCGAACTACCAGGAATCCGATGTTTCGGAAAATGCGGGTTTCGCTTGAAACGAAGCTCACACGTCCGGAGGGGGGTGTACTCATAGTCGTGCATGCCGTAGTCGTTAGACCATTGACCTCGCATCCCTACAAAGCCGGGACGGAGCACGCCGGGTTCTCACCGGACCAGGCTCTCACATCACCAAGCGCGGAGCGCGTGAGGTATTCGGCGAGTCGCATGAAGGGTGCGCTGCATCCTGCTAAGGGTGTACGGCATCTTGGGCTTACTTCCTTGCGTACGGATGACAGCTGCGTATGACTTGATTTATTTTCTGGTGCTTTCACTTCCAGAGACAGTTATAAGCACTTTGTAACTGCCTCGAGGATGCTTGACCATTTTAACACAACGTGGTGCGATCATCCTCTTTGCGCGGAGTGAGGTTTCTCCGCCCCGCACAACATGATCTACTCGACCACCATTATGGTTACCGCCAAAAAAAAAACAGAGGCAAAACAAAAAAACGGTAACCTTGGTTGCCGAGTTCACGAAGTGAATTGGCTTCTATTACAACGTCGTTGCCAAGCGACGGAAACCCAATCCCGATGGCAAACACCGAGGGGGCGGCTTGTTTTACAACGTCGTTGCCAAGCGACGAAAACCCGACCCCGATGGCAAACACCGGGGGGGGCGACTTGTTTTACAACGCCGTTGCCAAGTGACGAAAACCCAACCCCGATGGCAAACACTGGGGAGAGGGGGCTTGTTTTACAACGTCGTTGCCAAGCGACGAAAACCCAACCCCGATGGCAAAACACCGGGGGGGGCGGGGGGGAGGCTACCGTTACAATAGCTCGTAGAGGAAAAGCATACGGGTCCCGCGGGGGGATTTATTTTCGTCGGGGTACCCCACGCCCACATACGTCGGCACTACCGTATGTTGCATAAGATACCACACCCACTGTTTTCCGATTTTCAAAGGCTCGATTGCTCTGCAGCCAAAACAGAAGTGGTGCCGAGAATGGCGGCGTTGGAACCATCAACCCGAGAGATTCCAAAGACGTACCGTTTGAGTTTGGAATCGTCTGTTATTAGTCGGGATCGGGCTTAGAAACTTGGTCCAGGAGTGAGTATGGAAGGTACAGTTAGGGCTGGGGCATCGAACCACTCCAATGAGACAGGTTCAACGACTACCGCATGATGGGAAACCCCCTACATAAGCACCGTTCCCCTACCCATCCATCCTGAGGAGCACCCACATGATCCTCGGTTCGGCGATGTTCTATTGCACATACATTATCTGGTGGTCTTATCCGCCACCCAAGCTTTTCGCAAAGATTCCCGAATCGACCAAATTCGCAGAGATTCGCGCCACTCTGTAGAAAAGGGATGCAGCAGCTACAGATAGGTGGAATACAGCAGTACACTGGGACGGAACGTGACAGGACGACGGGATTCCTTCGATGCCATTGGCAACACTGTGGAATTGTCCTAGTACTTCCGAGGCGGCCGGCGAGATGAGATCTGAGAGTCCTACAAGCTACATCTACTTGTACATACAGTACAGCGGCTTGTGGACCCTACTGTATGTACATAGCAGCTGAGCAATGTACATCTCTCTGTGGTGTGAGCAATGCAGACCTCTGCTGAGGCAGTCGTTGTACTGAAGAGGGGGCCGCACGGTGTTGAGGGTGTCGATAGAGAAGGTTTGTCCCGCCACGATGGAGGACCACAACATCGACCTGCGGCAAACCATACTGCTGCTGGCTGTAAGATACGCACACGGACGACGGTGAAGGCTGAAAGATGCATGTAACGCCGCTGCCCTCCAGATCCCTCCCGCACACCCTCACCTGCTGCATCATCTCGGTGAACGACATTGAGCCAGTTCTGTTGCGAGCATGAAGGAGTAGATGTTCTGATGGTGTTTGCTACCGTGTGCGATCTACTATTGCTGTACAGTAGTACACAGCAGTGCGGTGTTGTCGGGGGGGGGGGGGGGGGCAAAAAGGACCCCCCCCCGGGTTGGCCCCCAAAAAAATTAAGGTTTTCGAGGGAACCCCCCCCCCGGGACTCGGGGCAAAAACCCCTTTTTTCCCGGACCCAAAAAAACTAAAAAAAGCTACCCGGTTTTCCCCCTCTCATTTTTTCAAAACGCCGGTTTCAAGTCTAGCCTTTTTAAATTAAGGAGCTGGGGAAGGGACTTTAGCCCCCCCCCCCAAACTATAAAAAACCCCCCCAAAAAAAAAAGAAAAACGGGGAAAAACCCCCGGGAACCCCATTCCCCCCCAACCCCAGGGTCCCCCTTGGGGGGCCTTTTCCGGAAAAAGGGGGAAGAAAAAGGGCCCCCCACCCCCTACCGGGG